GTACCGAGTATTTAATCAAGTGGAAAGGGCTACCAGAGTCCGAGGCAACATGGGAGCTAGCTGAAGACTTGTGGCAGTTCGAAGAACATCTCAAAGCGTACGAGGCGACGAGGACGACGCCAGAATAGGTGGGGGAGAATGTCACGAAATTGGGCCTTTTCCCCACACTTTGGGCTATTTTGGCTATGTTGGGCCATATTTGGTCTTGGAGGTTGATAGAATAGTGTAGATTATTCTAGAACACTCAAGACTTGTACATATTCTAGAAGCATTCTAGAGTCTTCCATGTTAGGTAGGAAATAATGGAGAATTCTAGAGAATCTCTCCCTACCGTAGGATCAAATCAATCTCCACCGTCCATTGAGGAGGTGGGATGCTATAAATAGGTGTAGAATCCTCATTTGTAAATCATCCAAGAGTTGTAAGCATTCAAGCATTCAACAAGCTTTCTCTCTAAGTTCTTTCCTTTCTTCTTTGTTTCCTTGCCAATCCTTTCTCTAGCACGAGTTCGAGTGAGGCTGACTTAGCTATCGCAAGGGGCGAAAAGGAGCTAAGGTCGCACGAGGCTTATTAAGCGATTAAGTCCGTGACAATGGGCTGCCCTCACGAGTTCAACCCTAGTGTTCCCTTGTTTGAATTTGGAACCATTAAACTCTCATCTCCTCAACTCATGCTTAGACCATTTCAAACCTCCATTAGCAGCAACCAAAGGGTTCGACTTCATAAAAATATTAATAAACAATTAAATAAAGTAACGTGTTGGTTGCTTGAGACATACAAACAGCTTAGACTCCTGAACCTGTCAAAGTGTATGTCGGCATCTCCAATTTCCCTAAACTACCCTCCACAAAGGGTCATACCAGATAAGTTGATTGGGACCACTTACTGGATTCAGCCACTGGCCCAACTCCAACTCTCGTAAAGAAAATATTTAAATTTTATGAGAATTTAAAATTTCCAAGACGACAACTATTCTCGATTCATTCTACCCCGTATATCGGTAGGCATTGGAAAACGTTAGCAATGAATGTGGTAGGGGATCATCACATGGGATGACTTTGGCTTAGTTCATTTTAGGACACACATGTGGTAACACTCGGTAATGATACCGTGTGTGCGAGTTTCCTTATTTAGAAGCACTGAATCCATTATTGTTACCGAACAGGAATACTTGTGATGGAAAATGTTTTAAATTCTATAAATGTTTTTTATTTAATTTTCCAAAATCCTATCAGCAAACATGAGTAGGAAAAAAAAGGACAAGTAGGAAAGATTTACCAAATCCAAAACTGCTGTGAAAGATGTGTGTCGTTGCTCCTGCGTGGAACCTTCTGAGATGGAGCCATCATGGACTTGTATGGATTATCTAACACTATAAATACCTTGGCTTCGCCCAAATCCCCAGCAGGAAAACAAGAAATCTTCAATTTCTCGAGGATTTCAACACACTCACTAAAGCTAATCTGTTGTATCTCTTAGGCTAATCTGTTCTTTCTCTGTAAGCTACACCAAAATTCATTTATACTTTATAGAATGGTGGCCATATCCAAGATTGCAACCGGAAATGGTCATGGTGAAAACTCTCCTTATTTCGATGGATGGAAGGCATACGAGACCAACCCTTTTCACCCCACGGAAAGACCTGATGGGGTCATTCAGATGGGTCTAGCTGAGAATCAGGTAAACTATTAAGAAACCCCCTCAAGAATTTTGTGCTAACATGGCTCATGGCTGCTGGCTATGAAGAACTAATGGTGTTTTTTGGTTTTTGATCATTTTCAGCTTTGCTTTAACCTCATCAAAAAGTGGGTTTTGCAACACCCAGAAGCCTCCCTCTGCAGTGCTGAAGGTGTTAACAAATTCAAGGAGACGGCTCTTTTCCAGGATTATCATGGGATGCCTGAGTTCAGACAGGCTGTTGCAAAATTTATGGGGAAAGTGAGGGGAGACCGAGTGAATTTTGACCCTGACCGGATTGTTATGAGCGGCGGAGCAACCGGAGCTCATGAGATGGTTGCCTTTTGCTTGGCTGATCCTGGTGAAGCTTTTCTGGTTCCCACTCCTTATTATCCAGGGTAATTCATCGATTTTTGCCATTTTTCTCAAGTTTATCTTTCTGAGGTTTTCCTTTAAATGGAAATCAGATGGACAAAACAGCTAAATTTGCCATTGATTCGCAGGTTTGACCGTGACTTGAGGTGGAGAACAGGGGTTGAGCTTGTTCCGGTCGTTTGTGAGAGTTCGAACAATTTCAAGATCACCAGGAATGCCTTGGAAACTGCATATAAAAAGGCAAAAGAAGCTAACCTGAGAGTCAAGGGTTTGCTCATAACCAATCCATCGAATCCCCTGGGCACCATTTTGGATCGAGAGACATTGAAGAGTATTGTGAAGTTCATAAATGAAAAGAACATACACTTGATTGGTGATGAGATATATGCTGCCACAGTTTTCATGGAGCCCGAGTTCGTTAGTATTTCCGAGATCATCGATGAAGTCGAGTGTAATCGTGATCTCATCCACATTGTGTATAGTCTTTCCAAGGACATGGGGTTCCCTGGTTTCAGAGTCGGCATTGTGTACTCGTACAACGATGCAGTGGTGAGCTGTGCCCGGAAAATGTCCAGCTTCGGTCTGGTTTCCTCACAAACGCAGCATTTAATCGCGTCGATGCTGTCCGATGACGATTTTATTGATAATTTTATTGTGGAAAGCAAAGAGCAGTTATTCAAAAGGCACAAGTATTTCACTTGGAGTCTTTCTCAAGTTGGTATTGGTTCTTTGAAGAGCAATGCAGGGCTGTTCATATGGATGGATCTGCGTAAACTCCTGAAAGAGAAGACATTGGAAGCCGAAATGGATCTGTGGCGGGTGATAATCAACGAAGTTAAACTCAACGTTTCCCCCGGTTCTTCTTTCCATTGCAATGAGCCAGGTTGGTTCAGGGTATGCTTTGCTAACATGGATGATCACACCATGGAAGTTGCTTTGTTGAGAATCAGAACCTTCATATTTAGGCAGAATGAGGCTATGGTTCCTCGTAAACTATGCACACGAAGCAGCCTTAAACTCAGCTTCTCCCGAAGAAGGGACGATTTCATGTCACCGAGCATCATGTCACCTCACTCACCCTTACCTCAATCGCCACTCGTCCGAGCCAGGACTTAAGCTGGATCAACTCAGACTTTTCACCATATTATACAGTATCTAAATAAAACCTTTAAACAATTGTATATTTTTAGGGTCTTTCCCTGCATGCAAAAAATGCAATATTGTGGGGGGAAAGCTCAACACTGGTGTGCACTGCTCATGCCCATACATACCATTCTTGTTTACCTTTCTTTTGTTTATTCATACTAAGAAAAAAAATTGCAGAGTTGTGAATTTGTAAGGGTGACCGATTCAATAAAGGATTATACTTGAAAAGTGTCTTACTTGAAAAGGGTTATGCTTGAAAAGTGATATAACATGTATTTTTTACATGTACTGTTACAAATGCAAAGTAAAATATATTCTCAACATTGTCCCCAAAGAACTGCTACCAAACTTTCCTGGGGCTCCCTTCATACTCAAAACTCTCGAGTAAAAGTAGGGCAGATAATCATATCTGGAAAATATAAACAGGTAATGATGCAAGTCATCAACTTTTCAGAATGAAAGAGCAGCACTGAATGCATTTAACATCATAGAGATTCGGCTTGAGGAAGAAAAGGGATAGATTGTCACACAAGTGAGTTTGTGCACTGTGTAATGCCTTGACACAATGCTGTGCAGAAAAAGATCGACAAGCATGATCAACATGCTCAACTCGTGCCGTGCAGTCATACAACTGTCATGCTAAAATGTGTACGTATAGATCTTGAAAGGAAAAATGACTAATGGTCATACCTCCCGAATACAGTGCCCACCAGGAAGGTTACCACCTATTGTATCTGGAAATCCCAAATAAATTTATCAAGAAATCAATGACTGATTTTTCTTCTTTATTGTTTCACCAGTTCTTGTGTGTAATCTAGGACAATTAAATCGGAGGTAGAGGCAAACTGATGAGCATACCTTGAGGCTGTACATCCTGTAGCAACTATAAGAGATCCATACTTGAGCAATTTGCCTGAATTTGTAGTTAAGGTTTGCCTTTCTGTATCAACGCTCGTTACTGGATCCTCGTCAGTCGTAAATCATTTAATCATACAAGAGAAGCATTCTAGAAGGTTAGAACAAGCAAACATCTGTTTCTCAGCTCATGAAGTTAAGGGTTATGAAAGATAAATACCATGTTCGACCAACAATCACGAGTCTATCAGAAGCAAGAAAAAGCGAATAACCAGATTCCATCAAGTTATACAAACATGAAATTATTGACCAAACTGGAAAGTGGAAAAGAAAACTTCGATTCTGGTGAAAACGAACTCTCAGTTGTTGTTAGAAAACGAAGAGGAAACGACTAAGTTTCTGGTGAAGCTTCTGAATTGAACAGAAGAGGAAGGGGGAGGACGAGTCAAAGTAGAAGAGTGAGGGCACCAGAGAGCGAGTTTGATAAACTCACCATTGCTTTTCGAGCTGTAAAAAAGAATGGATGGGAGAAATAATTGGAATAAAGGATCAGCAATTGCAGTTGCAGCAGCGGCTGGAACTAAGTGGAGACTGGACATGGGGACATGTTATTTGAAGGTGTTTTCCTAGTGAAAAGTGCAATATGGCTGATCATACTTATATTTAGCAAAGCTTTTAGCAGTAGTTAAAGAACAAATCTTTCTGGTTCTTTTAGAAAATTAAAGGGTTGAAACTAGTGAATATTGAAGTTAAAAGGAAACCCAGATTCAATACATTCCACTGTATCTTCAAACTATATCTACCATCCTCCATAGGGCAAACTTGTCTCAGGTTTGTTTTCTTATGTTCATATGGTTCCCACTGTGAGACAGGGTAACTGGAATTCGAAGAAGGAATCCAAACCCTCAAGAAAATATGCATCAAAGTAAAACAAAGTTCAGGCAAAGTGAGAAACTTTCAGTTGGATATAAAAATGTTATATAATAGTTTGAGTATTTACATTGCCTCAAAGCTTCTGTACTCAAATCAAACAACAGTTGACATATTAAACAAACAAACTACACTTCACAAAATGCTTGCTTCACCACAGCCATATTGCCTGAAGTCTGTGTTAAATTAAAAGGAAAAAAAGAACCCTTTTAGGCCCTGCTTCGGACCAAAAGACCAACTCACAAAAATGGCTGACAATTGACATAGTTACACGAGCGGCGCAGATGATTTGGCGCCTTGATCCAACACATCAAGAATTTCAGTTCTGCTTCTTACCAGCCTATGGAACACTTCCCTGATCAGCATCTGCAAAGGCCCCAACCCTTCTTCCATTCGCTGACAAACCTCGGCGAGTTCGGCTACTTGTTTAGCAGCTTCCTCCACCTTATCTTTCTCTCCGGGGTACTGAAATGAATCCGTAAAGTCTATCAAACTCTGCCCAAGCTTCTCCATTTTCTGCATCTCGAATAACAGACCAGCCATCCCTTTCTTCTCCTTCTTCTTCCACTCATCACCAATTTTTTCAAGTAAACCAGTCAGAGTATGGGTCCAATTCACGTTCTTAGGAATGGGAAGATGAGTTGTCAAACCATTCCTCTCTTGACAAGGAATTGCAGCAATCAATACCCACATGACAAAAACCATAATCAAGTTCATTATGAAAATAAGGGAGGGCAAACCGGATGCCTCCGGTCCACGTGGAGGAACGACGTTCATAGTCATGGCGTGAATCTGTTTGGAAGCAGACCAATTCCTAGCCACCTGCCAAGAAAGTGACTTGTAATGTCCAAACAGCGGTCGATCTTTATTACCACCTCGGCGACCAAACGACCAATTCCTGTCCGTCGTTTTATGAGCGCTGCCTTCTTTATCGTCGAGGTGCATTGCTGAAATCAACGAAACCAACGCCTTCTTTGCTCTCTTCGATTGTCCTTCACCAAAGGGTTTTTGTTCCAAAGCCAAAACAGCAATCTCAGCCAGTTTTTGGCAATGCCTGACCAACTCCAACCCATTTGCGATAGCATTACAAATGTCTAAAGCCTTAACGACACGGTCGAGGAGTTCAGGGATCAAGCGGTCGAGAGGGGGTTTGGAGATCTGAGCCGCATCACGACCCATCAAGAGAATAGCCTTGCATTCGGCTTCGCAGCCGAGGAAGACGTCGAGGAGCTTGCGTATCCAGGAAATAGAGAGAAAGGCATCGAAGGGGGTGTCATCGGGGGCGGATAAGATCTCGGCGAAACGATCGGAGACTTGCTTCTGGAAGAGGTCAAGGTCTTCAATCTCTTGCTCATGGGAACCATCCATGGCGTTGACCTGGTTCCGCCTGATGCTGATTCGTCCCAAGAAGGAGCTTTGGGTATCGGTTCCCGTCATTTGTGATGGAAGATATGCGGGTAATCGAAAGAGGGACGTGTTAGGAAAGAAGAGGGAGGAGGGTTAGAGAGTTAAATAACGGGAGCGGAATTTATGGGAGTCGGATTGTCGGGGACGACGACCCGTTCTTATCTTCCTTCTTTGGTAAGCTGACTTGGCACTCCTCAGGGTTTTCTTTATTTTTGTTTTCCCTCGTTTAGAATAATCATATATTTTAAAATTATTATAAAAAATTTAATTGAAATTTTAAAAATATATATTTCTTTCAAAATCAGATAATTTCACTAAAAATATGAAATATCCAAAATTATAATGAATGTTTATGATCATAAATGTAAATTAATCATATAATTTAGGATATTTTCTATAACTATTAACTCAAATATTAGTCATTTAAGACCACATAAAGACCAAGAAAATGTTAAAAATCTAACTAAAAAATGAACAAAATATATATACAAACAGATTTGACCACATCAATAAATAAACCATAAAATGTGATAAAGCTAATAAAATACCATCAATAAATCGTAAATCAGAATCGAGCAAAGTGAAAAAACTATTTACAAATGCAAATCACGTATCTAAATCCAAAGCAAAAAAGATAAACATGACAACAAGTAAGCACTAACTCTGAAAAAATATAAATTAAAACAACTAACAAAGGACCAAAAATGTTTCATAAAAATAAATAAAAATTATAAAAACAAAACAAAAAATATAAAAAAATGTAGAATTATTGAAAACTAAAAAGAATAAAAATAAAGATATAATATGAGAAATTAAAGAAAAATTTAAAATATCGACGACGATAACCAACACAAAAATTGGTTTTAGTTGTCTATTAATCAATAATAATAAAAGAGAGAAACAATTTTAAGATTTTTGAAAGAAAAACACTAATTTTTTTCTTGTCAACATTTGTTTGGGAAAAAGTAATTTCAATGATAATTATTTATTAATAATAATAAATAAATTACTATTATAATATTTTAACGGTCTATTAAATCTAATTCACTTTGTTTTATTCTTTGATTTTTTATTTACTTTAAAAATAAAATATATTAATTAATAAATAATAAATTACTATTATAATATTTTAAGGGTCTATGATAAAGTTAAATCTAATTCACTTTATTTTATTCTTTGATTTTTTATATACTAAAAATAAAATATAGTTTATTAATATACTCTAAAATCGATCAGACATTTTAAAATATACTTAAAAGGTCTATTATTTAACAAACATAAAATTATAACACAAAATAGTATGTTATTTTTATTTGAGTAATCAACTGTATAATTTATCCAATCCCCTAAAATTTCAGTAATTTATTTCAGTAATTTATTATATTGATTATTTTCACATATATCACTTTTTTTAGTGGAAAAGAGGCTAAGCGCCTTTATATCCTATGATTACCACTCTTCAGATGGGGAGGGCCAATGTTGTCTCTAATGAGGATATCATCGAGAGCTTCAGGAGGGGATTGGAAGATCTTGATGGATCCGTCGGCATTGGCTCGGAGCTTTGTTATGGCGTCGGCTGCGAAGTTGGCTTCACGGTGGATTGAAGTGAATTTCACATACCAGGCTTTGGAGGAGAGAGCGTAAATAGCTCGAACGAGAGCTATGGGGATGCTGGAAGCTTCAGGGGAGGTTATCAGATTGTGAGCATCAGTATTATCAGTTTGACATTGAATATTTTTTGAAGCCGAGAGACCAAGCTAAGGAGAGACCCTCGTGGATTCCCCAGAGTTTCTATTGAAGGACTGAAGAAGGGACAACGAACTTGTTAAAACCAAGAAGGAAGTCTCCATCGTGGTTTTGAAGAAGGCCACCACAGGTTCCTAAGGAGGACTTGCTATTGAAGGCTCTATTAGTGTCGAGTGTTATCATCCATAGGGTAAACTCGAGTAGCGGTAGACGCCAAGGATGAGTAGTAGTGTCTCGCCCAGGAATGACTGAGATGAAACAACTCAACGTTGGATGAGCCTTGGCCATTGAAGATGACTGCATTGCGTCTCTTCCAAACCTGCCACACAAGAGAAGAGAAAGCAATAGTCCAAGGAATATCAGAACCTATGGAGAGGGTGCTGTCGTAACCTTCCTTCATATGGGCCCGGAATCGGATTTCAACTTTAATTAATGTATTAGAGCCGTCACTGGTCATTTAAAATATGGTTGATCGAACACCTTAAATTACCATTTACCTGATCTTTATTTTACCAGAAATTAATCCGATTCGAGAGTCGATTACAGTAAACGAAGGATTAACACTCTTTTATTGCCCTTTCGGTACCAATTTAATTTCTCGATTGTCTTAATTGTAAAAATTATAATTGACATTAAAATTTAAAATTCGATCCAATATACTTACCTTTCACAAATTAAAATTGTCCTAAAAAATCCAAATTAATGTTAAATAAAAAAATTAAACTAAACTAAATTAAATAAAAATTAAAGAGGGATTAGGAAAACATTATAAATTAAAGGTTTAATTGATGTTAGTTGAAAGTTGCAAGGAGGAAAATAAAAAGTTAGGGGGTTAATTTACAAAATATAAAAAATATAAATATGGATTAAATTGAATATATTCAAAATTCAAGGGTAAATTTACAATAGGTAATCAAAATGAATTATACTTTAAAATTAGAGGGACTATGGAAATAATTAAATTATTTGGTACTTACAAACCAGTCCACCCTATAAATAGCCCAAATTTTCCTAAAAAATCATTTTAACCCATTATTCACAAAACACTCTCTCCCTTCTTCCCAAAATCCTCTCAACCAAACCAATTGGCCTAGTGGCCAACAACCCTCCAGTGGAACCCCACCGCCGTCAGCTGCTGCGCTAGCCAAAATCGAAAGCCCTCAATCCCGTGAACCCAAAACCAAAGCTCAAACTCCCAAAATCCCCCAAATCAACGTAGATCTAGGTTTTAGTTTCTCGGTTTTTACCTTTCCTAGCGTGCTTTCTAACTTCTGACGACTCCTTCTTCACCAACGAGGCTTCCATGTGTTCCCGCCGACCTTTGACGAAGCAAAACTTTGCCTTTTGGTTTTGGTTTCAAATATTTGTGTCCTTGGTTTTTTGATGTTTTTGGCTTGGTTTGTTGTTTGGTTGCTTTCGGTTTCCCTTTTGCCAAATATTGATTATTTTTTAGTGGTTTTCGTGATTGTATCTCTACTTGTGCTCTCGTTTTTTTCCTGTCCCTTCTGATGGATTTGCAAGTATATATATAACCCCTTGTTAGGGCTATTTTACCCTTAAATCGGTGATGGTGCAGTCTTAATTCTTATGGGAATCTTGATTTATGTTTCGGTTGGAATTTTTCTCCATGTTTGCCGAGAAAATCGGGGGAAGTTTTCCCATATTTTACCTCTGTTTCCTTTCAAAGATTCCGGCTGGTTGGTCACCATAAACTGGCCTGGGATTCTCGGCCTCACGCGTCCTTTGTTACTTTCCGTGCGGTGCCTTTGCTAATTATGTGTAACCCTAATTCTGCTAGGTCAAAAAGATAGGCTTAGCTGGGCCTCCACCGGGCTTGCTGGGTCAGGCTATCTGGTCGAGTCTCCCTTGCTGGACCTAAATTTGGATCTTGTTGAACCTTTGTTGGACTTCACTACAACAAATTTTCTTATTAGTGGCATCTAGGTTATTGTCACTAAAACTTCAATTTATGTCAATAGATGTATTTTGTGACGTAAAAGTCAATGTCACGACGATCGTCACCCTAGGTGTGTCACTAAATGTCAAAAGTGACGATGTATGTGTTATCGTCACGTATTGTTAAATATATAGTGATGCTAATGGATAAAATTTGCATTCAATGACAATTGCTTTTGTCACTAAATGATGTACATTTTTGTCATTAATAAATCATATCGTCACCAATAACACAATAATTTCATTGTATACGTGACGAAAAGAAAATTGTCACATTATTAGTAACATAGTATATCGTCACCTAATAGTAACATGAATGACATTTATATATAACGTCACTAAATAATTAATATTCAATGACAACTAATTATGTCACTAAATTATGTAAAATTTCGTTATTGATGATTTATATCGTCACAAATAATGCATTAAAATCAACTTATATGTGACGAAAGAGATATTGTCACATTTTTTAGTGACATAATATATCATTACCTAATAATATTTTGAATGATGATTATGCATAACGTCACCATATATAAGGTCATAGTGGCAAAATTAAAAATATTCACATTTTTAATGACAATATATATTAAAATATTATTTATACAAATCTAAATAAAAAAATAGTTAACTTATTGCAAAATAATAAGATTTAAACAAATATTTCACTAAAACCATAATAATTTCATTTCTATAAATATAAAAATGTTTAAATGTTTACATAAAATAAAAATAATATGATAATAATATGACTTGTGGAATATTTCGTTGTAGCAATCTCAATCCAAACCTAGAGTCGGTTGTGATTTTGTTGATGTTGAGTTCGTGGTATCATTTGAAGCTACAAATTAAAATAATCATCATTAGTTATTACAATTAATATTTATATAACAATTTTTATTTGATTAACCATATTGTTTACCTGAAAATTGAAGTGATGGCACTTGAATTCCAATAGCTAACAAAGCAGATCTCATAGCTTCCATTTGAGTTTGAATCAATTCAAAATTTGACTTATAGTTATTAAGTTCATCTTCTTTATTCTTCAAACTCTTTTTTAACTCGATTGTATCTGCACTTGAATTTGCTTTTTTAGGCTTTGGCCATATCCAAGCCCCGTAATGTATCATGGTCTAGTACCAAGTACCTCATCCATTATATCATCAATATTCTTAGGTTTTGCTCCTTCTTCACTTGGAGTTTATTGCAACTCCACCATTTTCTCCTAAAAAAAGTCATTCATAAATAAAATAATTCTTAGATGAAAATTACAATTTAATACTTAATTTTGTGAGGTCTTACATATTTTGCTTGTGCCTCAGATGTTGTCCATCCTTTGTCATTTGAATAATGAGTTGCCTTGAAGAAACCCATCCTATTTGGTTCTTCATCATCCTTGCGTAGACTTTAAAATAAAAAATAAACTTTATAATAAATATCAAAAGTGTCCAACTTACCATAGGATTTTTCTTAAACAATAATAACATTAATGTTGCCAAGGTATTTACAGAGATGAAAGTGAAAATGAACAATATACATTTCAATTCCCAATATCAATGGAGTTACTAATATTGATATGGTTTATGGAAAATTTGTTTCTATCTTATGTAAACGCACAACACATGACTCGCCTCTAAAAATGCTCAAACTACATATCTTTATTTGACCTAGGAAATTTATCTACATCGAGATTAAACATAGAGGAACTTGATTGGAAAATTCCTCTACAGTTTTTTGAACAAAAGAACACTCCTCTTCCTTTTCTAATGCTTTTCCTGAATTTCTACACCTATCTTCATGTACTGTTCACAACCAAATATGCACATGCAATCAATCCAAGACTGCCGTCTTTTCTTCTCTTAATTCACTCCTAAATCTTATCTCTTGTATATACTATTCACAAGCGTTATACTTAAAGCCACATTCGCAAGTTGAATCTCGGAGAGCCTTACCCATTCTCAGGTCGTTGCCATGGAGGACCGAGAACTGGCCCACGAGTAGCTTGAATTCTGACTTTGAAACCATTGCTTGGTTCAACTTCAGACTCCTGACCAGGTTCTAGATATGTGACCTGAAAGATTCTAATGCAACAGTGAACGGAAGTAAAGCCATATGCATGGATACATCGAACAGTAGAAGATTCGGTTGAAAATTAGTTTAAAACCAGATGCTCTACATCTAAATATATTAATAAAATGACAAGTTGTCCAGAATTGTTTACATTTAACACTATCATCAATTTATGATGGTATATTCAATGAACCAAACCATAAAAATGGAGTGGAGCGTGAACCATAAACAGTAACAGATGCCTAGTAGAACCCCTGAAAACTAAATTAACGATTTAACTCACATTTCTGAAAAGAGGATCCACCAAAGGCTTGGCATTTGGAGTTGCGACGACTCTATGATTTGGGGACATTTCCGAGAGCGTTTTTAAGGTCCTTAAATGGCAGTCATCATCAAGGTTTTGTGTAATCAGTAAGCAATCAAGTTGAGGAAGATCAGAAAGCTGCACAAAGGAAGTTTCACCGCAATTACAACAAACACACTTATTAAACAACAAAGCAAATTATATATATATATATATATATATATATATATATAACATGGATACAAAAAGAAACCTTGAAATTCCTAATAAATTTCTTGGCAGCATCATAGAGCAATGGAATGTCGAAGTCCAAGTTACCAACCAGAATTGGATCAACCAAAAGTTTAACCCCACTTACATCCCACAGCCAACTATTCCCCTAAAAACCAAAAACGAAACCATCTCAACAACAAAAAAGAGGGTGAAAATTAACAGATAAATCAAAAAGAAAAAGAAACCCACCTCTAGGTAAGTGAGGTTGAATACATCAGTCCCAGAAGAGCTGGACCCAACAGCACTCTCTTCAGAAACAACAGCAGAAACCCCCTTATCCCACCTGTGAAACCAACCCAAAACGAAAACATATACATATAAAGACTAAAACATACAGAAAGAATCGTAGGTTTTGGTTTAAAAGTTAATGAATACTTGCAGGTTGAGAGCTTTAATCTATCTGAACGGAAGCTGAACGGGTTCGAGGAATTGAGGATAGACGAGCGGGTAAGAGAGCGGATACGGGTCTGGGGCCTCTGTTTCTCAATGGTTTGCAACACAGAGGAGCGGAATTGCAATGGACCGCCATTCGTCCTTCCTTGATGAGTAAATTTAACGTTTTAGGCATGGTTTTCAGAATCAGACCGGTTAGTGAACCGGTCATGTTATCGTTTTACTGGTTCAATAGGTTAAATCGGTTCGATCGGTTAAAAGAATTGGACGACATCATAATTATTTAAAAAATTAAATAAAAATACCAAAAATATTTAATAAAAAATAATTTTTTATATCACAAGTCATATTCAAAGCAAGTCATAATATATATAAGTTAAAAACCATAAAATCAAGTTAAACAAAATGATTCAAATTAACTATAACATAATATTTAAGGTAAAACATATTAAATAATAAATATAATTATATAACTATAATTAAAAAATAAATTTGGGGTTAAAAAATCATAACAAAATGATATTGTTTGGTTTTTTGGTGAGCATTGAGTGAATTATTCTTTCACTTCAATCAAGCTCGAATTTTAGGCTTTAATCGAGCTTCTAATTTTTTTTTGAGTTCAAGCCTTTTTGAGTTCAAGTTTCAATATTATATTTCGAGTTTGAGTTGAACTTGATAATTTTTAGCTTGTGAGTTGAGTTGAGTTGAACTTGGCTCATTTAACAAACGACGTTGTTTGATTTATTTTTTTTATAAAAAAAACAA